TGTTTCAACCTTACACAAAGCTTTCGCAATTATCTTCCCCCCAAACCCTACAGAAACCCTCTGGTTCAGGTGTGTCAGAGCATTTTATGCAGGTTGAGCCCATGGCTGGGCTAGTCTCCTGTCCAAATCTTTCTTGGTCACTGTGGTCTGGCACATGTTGCCTGTTCAGAGCCAGAGGAAAGGAATAAAGCTTCCAGTCTGCCCGCTGGGTCACAGTTCAGCAGCAGCTCGAGCCTATTCTCTGGTGTCTAATTAATAATTAAATAATTAAGTTTCAGAAAGCAAGCTGCTGGTTCATCTGTTTGCAGCATAATCTGGGTAGAGCCAGTCTTTGCAGGTATACCTGGGGAGAAAAGGGCAAGTCCTATCTTGCTTTGACCCACTCCTGACCTAGATGGGAAGAAGGTGAGTTTTTAATTTTTTTTTTCCCTTCAGTTGCCAGAAGAGAGGAAAGGTGTCATTTCACATTTCAGGTGTGTTAAAAGGCTCCTGGGCATGAGCCCATATCATTGCCTCTGGCAGGACTTTTCTATCTCTTGTTCAGCTCAGCTTGCTGGGTGCATTCCTACTTGGTGTTTTTCCCAGCCTTTTAGACTCTGCTTAAGTATGTGGAAGTTCTCTATTCATAGGAGAAAGCCTGCTCTCTTAGAACTAAAAACATCCACCAGGTAGCCATGGCTTTCCCCATGTTGAGTGCAGGTCCCTGGGTGCTGAGGACTTCTTATCCTGGGGGCTTGGGAAGGAGAGCTCTAGCAGTGGGAGTGGTTGCCTGGGGCCAGGCTCCCAGTAGCAGTACCCCAGGAACCTGTCAAGCCTGCCCTCCAGGCTGAGGGTCCTCAGGGGAGAGAGGAGTCTGCTCCCTGAGCATGACTTATGGTGCTCTTTCTGCAGGACCAATTCTCTCACTTTCTTCATCCTTCTCAGCCTGCATCTCTTCTTCCCGGTGGACCCCACATTAGGCATAGCAAGCATCCTTTAGCTACCTCCCTTTCCCCAGCCTGTGTGTCTATAGAATATCAAATGAGATTCTCCTTGGTTTGGAATCGATGACCACGACTCAAAACTGTGGACAACTAATTTCAAAAGGTAGCTACTAACATTTGGGACCAGACATCTGTTCTGCTCAGCAGGCTAGCCCAGAACCGGCCTAACTATCCTCATCCTTCATCCCAGCCATTCCTCTTGAGGCAGTGGAAATGACTGGGTAGGCACTCAGAGAGCATCACTGAAGCCATGGGCTTTGTTGGGAGATGAGAGGGGACTCCTTCCTCTTCCCCAGAGGAAGGAGGTGGGTCTGAGGTCCCAGGAGAATCACAAGTGTGTGGTAGGCATGAGAACTGATATACTGCCTTCTCTGCACACAGTGGCCCTGTGCCTCAGCCCATCTGACCTGGTAGTCACTGTGCCAGGTAGGGGTTGAATGGTGGAGACCGTACCCTCCTGAAGCAACTCTGGGCAATAGCACAAGGTGGCATTCCACAAGTGGTGACACCGGAGATGGTGCTTTTATGTGGATGCCTAGGAAGTAGCATGTCATTTCAGGACAGTCTGGGAAGTGGTCCTCCGGGTCTCTGCTTTACTTATCTTGCATTTCATTTGAGGGTTCTCCACCTCCCCCTCTTTCCCTTTCTCTGAGCTGTTGTTTTTTTCTTTCTCCTTCGCTCCCTCTAAATGGGCTTATGTGATCTCTCTCTCTAAGAAATTTTGGATTTCAATCTTAGGGTCAAACCGAGGCTCTTCCTGCCAGTCTTTTTTTTGATGAACAGGCTGTGGGAAGACTCAGTTGTGTTCTTTGATCAATTGGTGATAAAAAGTAGGTACACACCCTTAAACATCCTGAAACAAGCTTTGGGTCAGTCACCAAACCCTTTTCAAACCAGTTATATTTTCCTTCTCTGGATAAAGGGTTTCCTAAAGCTTCTGTGTGCTGTAGAAGTAACCATTTGAATCAAATGTATGATATATGATATGTCAAGATCATTGTAACGTTTTGAGCAACTAATAAAAACAAAAAGTTTTCCATGTATACGGTTTCCAAAAATGTATCTCATCTAGTTTCCCAATAGATTAACATTAAAAAAAAAAAAAGAAGAAGTAAAGAGCCCTTAAGGGTGGTCTGGGGTTGTAGCTCAGTAGTACAGTGTTTGCCTAGCATGTGTAAGGCACTGGGTTTGATTCTCAGCACTGAATATAAATAAAATAAAGGTCCATTAACAACTAAAACTAGTAATAATAATAAAAAAAGAACCCTTAAGTTTATTAGACCAAAGAGATCAAGGGGAAGGAAGGCTTTCCACACTCTATTAGGTAAACAAAACAACCTTCAGAGTGAAAAGTTGAAAAATATCACCAAAGGCAAATTTTGTGGGTAAGGCAGATGGGTGTTCAGTTAAGTCTAGTCCAGAATGTTAATGTTTGAAACCTGAAAGACTTAAATTTAGGGCAGAAAAGGGCAAGTAACCTTTAGGTAAGTATGGTATAGGGGAAATCACAAATTTTACAGCCTGGATGGATCCCTGGCTGAGGGACTTGGGGCAGCTAGTCCTCCCATCTCCAAGCAGGCCCCCTCTCCCTGCCTCCCTCCCAGGGCTGTTGTACTAAGCGTCAAAGAAGAAGACTTCTATGGAAGCTGACCACCCTCTCTAAACTATTACTCTTTTTAAAAATATATTTGTTGATGGACCTTTATTTTATTCATGTATTTATATTCGGTGCTGAGAATTGAACCCAGCGCCTCACACATGCAAAGCAAGTGCTCTACCACTGAGCTACAGCCACAGCCCACTATTACTCTTATTTGTTGCTGATAGTGACTGTTATTGCTGCTTCTAATGATATTAGGCCTGAGCAAGCTCTGATAGGAAGTTGAGCACAAGAAGATGCAGGAAGTCTTCTACGTCCTGAGTTTTGAGATGAGGAACCTGGAAAAGGATCCTGCATTCACTAGGCAGGTCCCTTGGTACCATCTATTCAAGGACAAACATAGATTGTCAGTCTTCTCTTTGAGCCACAATGACTGGTGTCACCTTTATTGCCTGAGGTTCTGTGTTTGTGGTTTATGCATGACAATGACCAGTCATGTACCCAGATAAAAGAAGCTCCAGGTGGAGCTGAGAATTCAGTGGTCAGGACTGATAGGGAAACCAAGGAGTCCCCAAACCATCTGTCCCATGTGGCTTAATTGATGTCTCCAATTATTTCTTGAGCCTCTTTCTTYCCATCCTTCCTTCCTTTGTTTTTTGCCTCCTTCTTTCCTGTTAACGTTTGAAACTTGAAAGACTTAAATTTAGGGCAGAAAAATTTCCTAATGTATCTTTTTAAATTAGAAAAAATGACCCATAAAATTTGTACATATGTATGGGCTACAGTACGAGAATTCAATACATGTCTACAATGTGTAATGATCCTATTAGGGTAATTAGCATCTCTATCGCCTCAAACATTTATCATTTCTTTTTGCCGGGAACCTTTGAACTCATTTCTTCTAGTTATTTTGAAATATATAATAAGTCGTTGTCAACTGTAGTCACCCTTTGGTGCTATGGAGCATTAGGACTAATTCCTCTTGTCTCTGTGTTGCTTCCCATTACCCAACCTCCCTTTCCCCTCCCCCTTCCTTCCCAGCATCTAGTGACCACTGCTTATTTGAGGCCCTTCCTTGCCTGTGAGTGTGTGGCAGGAGAGGAGGAAGAGTAGTTGCCCCAGTCTTGGCCCTAAGTGATACCTGCATCTCCTGTTCTTAGCCATTGAGGAGCCGTGCCCCTGTGACTCTGGATCTTAGATTTTTTTTTTTCTTGCACTCTTGGATTTTATGCTTTTGCAGATAATACACACTCACCAGTGATGGAATCACTGCACAGGGGCTCTTAGTTGGGCGCCTCCTCCTCCCCGTCCACCCCAACCCACTCACAGAGAATCATTAATCCTTGCTGCATAGTTTGAGGGTAATGGAAGACACAATCTATGCAGGAACAGTTTACAGTAAGAGTTGCTATTGCTTTTGCTTAAGATCATTTTAGTATTTCCACAAGCTTTTAATTTTATCAGTAAAGGGTTTCTATTTGAGTGTTTATAAATGCCTTGGTTATTTTTTGATTTGGAAAAACCAGCAGAGAATCTGTTGAACCAATTACTGACCTCTCATGCTTGAACAGCTGCCAAACAATGGTTTAAAATCCTAGCGTCTTGGAAGGGAAGAAGACATAGGGGTCACCTGGTCAGTGTTCAGTCAGGAAAATGGAAACTATTGTAGGTATTAAACAGGGAATCTGATACCCAAGATTGATTATGGGGGTGGGGGGTTGGAAAGGCTGAAGAAGCAAAAGTGAAAGTCAGGTTATCTGAAGATTAGTAACCCCTGGGAGCTGCCTTCAGCCCTAGGACCTTGGACTGAAAAGCAAAGAGATGCTGCCCAGAACGGTGACCACTGCCTAAGCTGGGGCCCAGGGTGTTTTTCCCACCTGCATGTCACATGGCCACACCTGCAGAAAGGCTGGAAAATGTAGTCTACCTGGGTGGCCAAAAGGAAAGGAAGTCAGGTTTGTGGAATAGCTAGTCTCTGCTACGCACAGGTGCAGCAGTCCCTGGTGTTTGTAGTGAATAGTGACCCTGTTATGGACTCAATCCTCAAAACTGTGTGTGTGCCAGGTGTGGTGGTGCATGCCTTTCATCCCAGCAACTTGGGAGGCTGAGGCAGGAGGATCGAAAGCTTTAGGCCAGCCTCAGCCACTTAGCGAGACCATCTCAAAATAAAAAGACCCAAGAGTGTAGCTCAGTGGCAAAGTGTCCCTGGGTTCAACCCCCAATGCCTCCCCCCACCCACAAAAACAAAAAAACACAAAACCCCTCAGAGTGTGTGTTTGTGAGAGTGTGTGCACACTTTTGAAAACACATGGTTGCCCAGGAGGATTCCTGCCTTTTACTGGTCCATTCCTCCTTCTTCTGCCTTCCCTGGCCCTCCTGGTGGTGGCTCAGCTGACATCAGTGCGCTCTCTTGGCAGGAGGCCCTGGCCCAGCCCCAGCCCTGGTGGAAGATCCAGCTGTTCATGTGGGAGCCAGTGCTGTTTGGGACCTGGGATGGTGTGTTCACGTCCTGCATGATCAACATTTTTGGGGTTGTTCTGTTCTTGAGGACCGGCTGGCTGGTGGTAAGTGATGAGCTGGTGGCCCTGGTGCCTCTTGTGGGTCCACAATCTGGAAAGCTGTCCTGCTTGGCATCCTTTAGTGCAGGCATTAGTTTCCTGAAGCACAGGTGCTCCTGAAACATGAAATAGGACACAAGTAAGTGGCGAGCTGGCATGGCTTTTTGTTGTTATGATTGTTCCATTTTTATTAGTGGTTGTATGCCTGATTTACAATTTTATTGTTATAATTGTTCTATTTTATTAGTAGTTGTAAGTATTAACTGGCATTGCTTTTTTAAAAATCTTTTTTCTTTTTCTGTGGTGCTGGGGAATCAAACCCAAGGCCTTATAAGTGTGAGGCTAGCGCTCCATCAATGAGCAACATCCCCAGCTCCTTGGCATTGTTTATTTATTTATTTTTTGGTTCTGGGAATTGAACCTGGGGGTGCTTAACCACTGRGCTAAATCCCCAGCCCTTTATATTTTATCTTATTTTTTTATTTTGAGACAGGATCTCTAAGTTGTTTAGGGCCTAAGTTGTGAGGCTGGCGTTGAACTTACGATCCTTCTGCCTGAGCCTTCTGAGTTGCTGGAATCACAGATGGGTGCCACTGTGCCCCACATGGCATTGCTCTTTAAATGAGAGTCTGTGAGCCCGGAACTCACAGGTTCCAATAGAAGCTTCCCCATGGATTTGATTACCTGAAGAGTCAGGGGTCATCATGGGTGGGACTAGAGATGAGCAGAGAGATCAGATGGGTGGCAGTTTTGCTTCCAGCTTGTGACCCTCTCTGGCCTTCTTATCTTTCCTGTGTCTTGCTAATGCACCAGCTCCTCACCCACATGGTTGCCTTCCCCCACTCTCCCTGACTCTGTGTGTGACCATGCTTGGGGGGCTTAGTCAGAGGTGTAGGCTCCTTACCTCTGGGGGATAGATTGCCCTGCACAAGGTCCTACGGGGTTAATTTGTCTTTCTCTGCACAGAGAACAAAAATCCTTTCCTTTGTTTTATGCAAAAGCATTCTTCCATACAGGTGTGCACCCTGAGCAGGGTCCTCAGCCCTTCATATTGTGCCTTCTCCCATGGTGGGACTTCAGTATACCAAATAGGCCCAGAAGAAAAGGTGAATACCTGTTGTGTGCTAGCACTACTAGTGCCAATGGAATTGCAAAACCCGACACCTCCTCCTTCCCATAGTGGGCAGAGTCATGTCATCAGAGCAGCAGGAAACACCTCAGGGGTGGAACAGGCTGAGGATGCTGTGTTCACGAAGTGTCCAGGAAAGCTTCCTGGAGGGAGGAGCAGTTTGGAAGGCCTTGAAGGGTGAGTTGGAACAGACAGGTGGAAGAGAGGGCTGTTGAAGGTATAGAATATTCCTAAAGTAACAGAGCCAATGCCAGAGGAGGTACACACATACAAGGTATATATTATCAGGTGAGTCTTGAGTTTGAAGGTGGAAAGCTCATGCAGAATTTCTACATTGCAGCTTAGAGGCAGAATTCCTTCTTTGGGAAACCTTAGTCTTTGCTCATAGGGCCTTCTACTGATCCGAAGAGGGCCACCCACATTATGGAGGATAACCTCTTTCCTTTATGACAACTGATTATTTGAATCACAACTTTAAAATACCTTTACAGCAATATTTAGATTAGTGTCTGACTAAACCACTGGTCACCACATTGGACACATAAAATTAACCATTCCATGGGCATATTCCAGGGGATTACAGCTCCATGGTGGTGGGATGTGCAGAGTTCTTGGATTTCCCCATCAAGAGGCCTGGATAAGGCCAAATTTTCCTAAGCTCTTGTTCAGTCACATCCCAGTCCTTACCTCAGGGTTCAGCCTTTACTGTACCTGGGTGAGACTGAAAATTTTTATTTTTAATGCATAGGAAGCTTAGATTGGTGTCAATAAATTAGTGTTTATGCTAAGAATTTATGCCTCTCATAAGCCCTCTAAACTTATGGGGGCCCCAGACTTAACAAAAACATAGCCACAAGCCCAGACTGTTCATCTTGGCAGGCAGGCTGAGGCTTTTGGGACCTGACTTCGTTCTTCTTCTTCCTGTGGTGGTCACCTCACTGCTTAGTAACTCTCCAGCCTATGTCCAACCAAGGCCCATCAATCTGACCTCTAAGGCAGAGGAGGCCTGATCAGTGTCAGCCTGGGATTCCTGAGCTCTGTTCCTGTAGGGATGGTTATGGGAAGGTGGATGGAGAACAGACTCTTAGTCCTTTAGCTCCACCACCCCTTTTTTTTTTAAGGGCTGTCAAGAACTATTAGTTCCATCCCCAAAGCGAAGGTATAAGTTGCATTAGTTATTATTATTGCATATCAAATTACCCTAATATTAAAGCAATAAATATGTCTTCTCTTACAGTTTCTGTGATTTGGGGATCCAGGTACAATTTTAGCTGGGTGCCTCTTGCTTGAGGGCTTTGGTCAAGCTGTTGGTCAGGCTGCAGTCTGCTCTGAAACTTCAGCTGGGGTGCCGGGAAGTGGTTATTGACCCAGGCCTGGGTCCTCATCATGTGGATGTCTGCATAGGGTTGTCTCATGAAAAGGCAGCAGACTTCTACAGGATGAGCAATCTAAGAGAGGAGGAGAGAGCAAGAGCATGAGACAGAAGCCATAGTCTTTTTACTATCCTAATCACAGATTCTGTCACTTCTGTATTCTAATTATTAAAAGCAAGTCACTACATGGATAAAACAAATAGCCTAAAATAGAAGTATGTGCATGTTTAAATTTGCACTTCAAAAACTATGAAATAAATTGCAACTAATGTGATCATTTTGAGTGACTGACAAAATATTTGCATACTTTAAAAGAATGAGTCATTTGGTGCAGCCTAAACCCAAAAGGCTGGGTATTACACAAGGGCAGGAATACCAAGGGACAGGGATCACTGGGGCTATCTTTAAGTTTGTCTACCACACAAATACATCCTTTTGTCTTAAAATGATCTGTAGTTTTCAGCTCTGACATTAGTTTTACCTGAAAAATCATGTTTGATCATGAAAACAAAGGCAAACATGAAATGCCAAAAATAATATAGAACTCTAAATATAGAGCTTCTAGGGAATGGCCTAAAATGAAAATGGTAGAGATCATGCCAAAATTATTAGTTTTTAAATGGAAGATTTTAACTGTATGGAATAATTTGGAGGCATACTTATAATCTGAAAAATGGTAAAGTGGTCATTCTAGTATGAAAATTTAAATATGTTATTGAATATTTTATTTTTACATGCAGACAATTTATAGGTATGAACATGTAATTTCCTTATAATTATAAAATCAGTCCCCAGCATGTTGAGATGTCATACTCACATATAGTTTAAGGCCATCTGCCTGGGGGCAGCCAGGGCTGAGGCATTGGGGTGGGCAAGTAGGCATTATGATTGGCTCCTGTCAGTTCTTCTTTTGCCCCTGTCTCACCTCTGGAATCATTTAACACTGCCAACCCTAGAAATCCCAACAGCAATGTGAACTGTGTGGCTGTGGCTGGGTTTTTTGTACACATGCCCACACAACTGTTGATGTCTTGTTCCCAGAGGGAGCCACAGATATCCTCATGCTCCAGTCTAGCCACTAAGGAGAAGGAGAGTGAGTGGGTAGAATATGTATAAACTGCATAACAATAATGAACAATAGTAATAATAGTGACATAAGATTTATAGCAAAATAAGAATATAGCAAATAAAGTTTATCAAGCTCTTATATCCTGGATGGCATTCTAAGTACACTATGTGTACTTAATCCCCCTAAGATTTGTTATTTCCTGTCAACCCTGAGGTAAATATTATCTCAATTTTACAAAAGAGCAAATTGAGCAGAGGTGAAGTCCCAGTAGCCACAGTTGAGGAGACACCCTGTCTACTTGTGCTCAATATGCAGTTTGCATTCAGAGCCCTACCTCTGCAGATGCACATTCCTTTCTTGACCTGAGTGTCCCCTAGGAGACCCTCTCCTTGCTCCTCAGTTCCACGCTAGGTCAGATGGTCAGAGGCTCATCCCTTTTTCAAAGACTAATGGCTAGTGCGTTGCTACAGCTATCTTATTGCACCCTGATGCAACACTTAACATCTCAGATTTACCTGTCTTTTCTTTTTCAGTCTTTTCTTTTAATTCTGGGCATAGAATCCAGTTCTTCAGGCATGCTAGGCAGATACTTTACCACTGAGCTACATCCCCAGTCCCACATTTTTTTTCTATTCTGCTTATTCCCATAGGAAATTTGAGGTAGTCAACAACAACAACAACAATAATAATAATAATAAACCCCACAGTACTTCAAGCTAAAAAACATGTGAAAAACTCATGCGAGAGAAAGCACAAATGAATGGGAAAGTTTACTGCAGCGATTCCTTCTGGTGCCTGCACATGTCCCCTGCACTCTTCCAATCAGCCAGATCTTGCTTGCAGGTAGTTCCAAAGCTAGATGAACAGTATGTCCTCAGAACTTCCTTCCCCAGTGGCCTGAGAAAGAGTAGCAGGCAGAGGGCTTTCTTCTCCTAGGTCTACTATGTGGCGATGTTGTAAGTAGAAAGGAATTTTGCCAGGGAGGAAAACCCCTGGCAAGTATGGCAGGTATTGCAATAAGTACTAAACCCTGGATCCTGGAGGAGCCCTGAAGCATTATAGGGATGGCTCCTGGGGGGAGGAAAGCCTAAACACGGAGTCTTTAAGGATGCATTGGCTTTAACCTGGTAAACGCATAGAATGAACAGTAAAGGCATTCTAGTCATGTAGGTAAGCGGGTGGCAGGGACAAAGCGTGTCCCTGCATGGTAGGGCACAGAGTAACAGATTAGAAGGTGCCTCATGACTCTACTGAGTGCTTCAACTTTACTACATAGGTGATGGGAAGTCATTGGAGGATTTAAAGCAAGGACCTTCTGTTCATCTAGAACTTCTCAAGGGCCTTAGGTCTGGTGGTGTCTTTCAACCGTTTCCAGTTGCCCTACTTGGGGCGCCCCCACCCCCATTCTAAGGCAGTGGGTCCCAGGGTGAGGGGAAGTGGTTAGTGCTCCCACTGGGGACCACTCTGGCAGGTCCTCCGCTCCTCATCCTGATCTTGATCCTTGCTGTTCTACAGGGAAACACAGGTGTGCTCATGGGCATGCTTCTGGTGTCCTTTGTCATCCTCGTGGCCCTTGTTACTGTGCTGTCTGGCATCGGCGTTGGGGAGCAGGTTGGCATGGGCAGTGGCGGCGTCTACTCCATGATCTCCTCCGTCCTCGGCGGGCAGATGGGAGGCACCATCGGGCTGCTCTATGTGTTTGGACAGGTGAGGCTGCCAACAGCGGATGACCACCCCCACCCCCCCACCCCGCACTGCTCTCTGCTTCTTCTCTTCTCACCATCTTCTCTCCCCTTCCTCTTTCTACCTGGCTCTGGTCCAGATCCCTGATCCCTTAGTCCAGAGCTCCTGCTCCCACCATTCCTGCCTCATGGATTCCTGATTTGACAAGGGGCTTGGCCCAGCACCATTCTTGCTGCCTGGCTAGGAAGGGTGTGCACCATAGCAGCTGGAGCCCAGGTGGCAGCCATGTGGCCTGGGACCAGGGCATTTTTGTGCCGAAGAGAAGGCATTTTGCCTGTGCCAAGGGACTTTCTTGGAAGGAGGCCCTTGTCAACTGAGCTGGAGCTCTCACACACATTAGATGACTCAGGTGACCTTAACAGGGAGGCTGAAAGCCTTTGTGTGGACCCTGTGTCTGAGAAGGAGAATAGCGACAATGAGGCCACCTCATAGGGATGGATGAAAGCACATGGAAAACCAGCCAGCAGGGAGCAGTTCTAAGGCTTATTTAGCTAAAACACAGGGCAGTGACTTAATGCTGAGGAAACAAACTACAGACACTAAGAAGCAGTTCTTTGTAAGCATTTCTTGGATTGAAAAAGATTCTACGGTACCCCCCAAAGGGTGGTTTTAAAAACAGCTTAAAGAATTTGTATAAAGAAGAGTCCAAGAGTCTCCTCAAGGAAGACATTGGTTTTGTTTCTTTTATTTTTATGCAGCACAGGTATCAAAAATACATCTGATTCGTGTGTGTGTGTGTGTGTGTGTGTGTGTGTGTGTGTGTCTAGGTGCAAGGAAGGCAGATGGATTGTCACTGACCGTTAAAGAGCATGTGCTTTTATCAGAGAAAGTTCTTTAAGAATAGTATAGGTCAACCATCCTTAATCTGAAAAATCAAAAATCTAAAATGCTCCAAAATCTAAATTTTTTGAACCTTATATTGAATGGTGCTCAAAAGTTTCATATTTTGAAACGTTTTTGATTTCAGATTTTCAGATTAGGATGCTCAACCCACGAGGTCTATGCACATATACCAAAATCAGAAAAATTCTGAAATCTGTAACATTTCTGATTCCATGCCTTTTGGGTCAAAGATGTTCAAACTATTGTCTTCGAGGTGAATAATGAGTGGCTGGTATACTTTATTCCCCTGAGGATTTGTGCCTAGCTCTGCTATTGTGGAGCCAAAAGGGATGAAGTGTGGACACAGAAGTCCTTGCTCTCCCTACTCCCTGGGCAGGCAACAAGCCAGCTTCTAGAAGCAGGTGCCAGCTCTGAACACCCAGGATAAAGAGAAGAAGCTGGTTTACCTAGTCTCCCTTCGGTGGGCTGATTTGGAAGGAAATATGAGAAAGATGTTTTCTCAGCCCTGGTGGCCACGCCTGAGAAGCCTCTGTGTCAGCATCTCTGCTGTTTTGCCTTCTTTCCACTTGGGCCTTGGTCAGATATCTCCAAGTGCCTCTGATCCGTATCTTCGTCACGCCTCTGCTTTGTCTGAAGCTACCCCAGGCTGCAGTCTCTGAGCAGGGTGTGGTTTCTGTTTAATCCTGTATGTGTTACTGGATTTGTTTTCTAGTATGTTGAGGACTTTTTGTGCATATTCTTGAGGTCTGATGGCCTGTAGTTTTTTGGGGTGTGACATCTTTGTCTGGTTTTGGTGTGAGGCTACTGCTGGCCTCACAGAGTGCGTTGGGAGGTGTTCCCTTCTCTTCTAGTTTTTTGGAAGTGTTTGATGTTAATTCTTTAAATGTTTGGTGGAATTCAGCAGTGAGACTATGGCATTTTCTTTGTAGAAAGTTTTGATTCTAATTCAGTCTCTACTTGATTCTAATTCAGTCTCTACTTAGGTGGGCATGTTCTACGTTTCTGTTCCTTTTGGAGTCAGCTTCGTAAGCTTGCATCTTTTTAAGGATGTTTCTGTTTCATCTAGGTTATCGTATTGACATATTTTTTACAGAGTCCTTTATAATCCTTTCTATCTTTGTATTGGTCTTTCATTCCTAATTTTAGTGATTTGGATCTTCTCACTTTTTTCTAGATCAATCTAGGTAAAGATTTGTCTGCAAAGAACCAATTTTTGATTTTGTTGATTTTCTTTGTTATTGTGGTCTCTATTTCATTTATTTATGCTCTTGTCTTTATTATTTCCTTCCCTCTGCTTTCTTTGAGTTTAGTTTGCTCTTCTCTTTTCGTTTCTTGGGTGTCAAGTTAGGTTACTCATCTGAGCTCTTTGTTCTAGGTATGGTTGGGGTTTCTGAAATTCCCTGTTCCTGGTTTGTATTAACCCTCTCATGTCCTCATCCCAGCGCATACATGCATTTTTAATTTTGAAAGATTACTAGGGCAGATCGTCTGGTTTTGAATGATTACTAGGGCAGATTGTTCCTGAAGGGGTTGGCAAACTTCTATAAAGGACTTAATAGTAAATATTTTGGCTTTGCATGTTTCTGTCACAAGCAGTTAACTCTGTCATTATAGTGCAAAAACAGCCATAGAAGTCTGGAGTGTGGCATGTGCCTGTAATTCCAGAAACTCAGGAGACTTAGGCAGGAGGATCTCAAGTTCTAGGCAGCCTCAGCAACTTACCTGAGACCCTATCTCAAAATAAAAAATCGGGGCTGGAGTTGTGGCTCAGTGGTAGAGCGCTTGCCTAGCACGTGTGAGACCCTGGGTTCGATCCTCAACACTGCATAAAAAGAAATAAATAAAATAAAGATATTGTGTCTAAAAAATAAAAAGGGCTAGGGATGAAGTATGATAGCTAAGTGCCTCTGGGTTCAATCCCTAGTACCAAAAAAAAAAAAAAAAAAAAAAAAGACATTGCTCTCTGTCTCAAAACAGGCAGCAATCAGGATTTGGCCAGTGAGCCAGTTTGCCAGCCCCTGTCCTACAGCATCAAAACTTAAGAGATGCAAACACGAGAATAATGATTTTAAAAGTTTGCAAAAATTTTGTGGACGTCCTTTGTTCTCCCTGTTTTAGTCAGCTTTTTCTCACTCTAACAAAATAATCAATATAAACAACTTAAAAGGGGACAGACTTATTTTGGTTTCAGAGGGTTCAATCCCTGGCTGGCTGGCTCCTGTGTCTGGACCTGTGGGAAGGCAGCACATCACAGTGGAAGATGTGGTAGAACAAAGCTGCTCACCTCACTGCAGCTGGGAAGCAGACGGACAGAGGATAGGAGAGGTTGGGGACAAGATAGACACCATTGGGGCCAGCCCTCAGTGAGCGGCTTCTGCAAGAAGGTCCTACCTCTTACAGTTTTCCCCACCTCCCCATGATGCTAGCAGCTAAGAATTCATCAATAGACTAGTCAGAGCTCTCACCTTCCAATCCCTTCCTTAGAGCCCCATTTCTCAACGTTGGTGCTTTGTGGACCAAGCCTTTACCACGAGTCTTTGGGAAACACTTCATATCTAAACCATAACGATCCCAAGCCCTTCTTCCCTCACTTGCTTCCCTGTGGGACCAGACTCCCTTGGCTAAGAGGGGAAGATGGTTAGAGACCCTCCTCACTCCCTGCCCCACTCGCCCGCCCATATCAGTCTGAAGGCTTCTTAACTAGACACCAGAATGTCTGTCTTCAGCATACTGACCTGTCTGTAAGCATTTATAATGGCTACTGTGCTCTCTACAAAAACAGTGGGGAACTGGAAATCTTTTATAGACTTGACAGAGGCCTGGAGTTTTCCTCATGGGATTAGCACATGTGCAAAACTGTTACCAGCTTCAACCAAAATCAGGGATTTGTGTCAGAAGACGGTGGGTGGAGGGGCAGCTCTAGTCCTCTAACTGGGTCCCTGAAGGTGGAGGGGAGATGCCTAGGACTGTGCATGTGCAGTTCTTCTAAAACAAATACCTTGGAATGGAGGTATAGTCCACATTGTCTCTTTAAAGTGGTCAGTGACACCCCCTGTGTCTTATGGCAGGGAGTTAGAGAAATTTCTCTTAGAAAATGGAAAAGAAAAAGCAACACCTATAATTATAAACTTCAGGAGGAAATGAAAATGCTTTAAAAATATAATAAATACTGGATGCTTGGTACAGTGGTGCATGCCTGTAATCCCAGTGATTTGGGAGATTGAGGAAGAAAGTTCACAGGTTTCAGGCTAACTTCAGTGATTTAGCAAGGCCTTAGGCAACTTTGTGAGACCCTTCTCAAAATAAAAAATCAAAAGGCCTAGGATGTGGCTCCAGGGTAAAATGCCCCTGGGTTCAACTCCTGGTATTGCCAGCAAATTAAAAACTAAAAACAACTGCTGGAGATATTTACACAAATCGCCAGGAATGCTTTCCAAAAAAGAGTGGTATAGGTTGGAAGGTAGACCTTAAGGTAGTTGCCTTGCTGTGGGGAAGGGGCAATCACTGATCGTCCATGCCTTGTGCCAAGCTCAGACCAGTCTTGAGATGGCTGTTGTGAGCCAGGTGTGATGAAGGCCTTGATCCTGGGCTGCTTCCCTGAACACAGGGCTACAACATACCCCAATGTAGTTTTGCATAAATATAATGGTACTCTCGGTATGTTTATTTTTATTTTTTCCTTTATAAATTGTTATAAAAGGGCAAAATGATCTTCATTGTAGTCAGTTAGTGCATCAGCCATAATGTAACAAAGTGAGCTGTCCCCACCCAAGGTAGCCAGTGTCCACAGCTTATATTGTCTTCCACCACTCTAGTCACACACCTGTGGGGTTTTGAAGGACTTGCTTATTTTTATAAACAAAGTTCATACTCTATTCCACATCATGGGGGATCTCACTTAACCTGAAGTCACAGATAGTCCCCTAGGTCAGTGTTTTCACTTTATGAGCACAGTACTTAGTGAATATTGAATAATATGAGCATACCTAATTTATGGCACATTTTTGTTCTCCATTTCATTTTTCTGTATTAGTCGTTGTTAGATAGGGAAAATGAAAAACCCAAAGATAATGTGGCCTGGGAAAAGGGAGTGAAAAAGAAAACCATACATGGATAGCTTTCATCTCTCTCAAGATAAATCCTTTTCAGATGCTGGCATTGGCGGGGAGAAAGTGTTTCATCAAACCTAGAATGATAGTCTCTAGGAGACACTAATCTCTTCCAAGATAAATCCTCTCCAGGTGCTGGCCATTGACCCCCAGCATAAAGACCCCAATTCCTGAGTGCCCAAACTGACTCGCTCTGAGTATAGCCAATATAAGCCCCAATTCCCCCTTTGGCCAGGGGCTCATTTTCCACCAGGAGAGCGGGTCCATTCCTGTGGGCCTTATCCCGTTCCTGAACAAAAGGCTCAGATGATCCATGAAGTTTTCTTCTAGCCGGGTCCTCAGTGCTCACAGTAGTTTTATTGCCTTTTCATTCCTAATAGTCTATGTTTTTGCATTCTCTCTTTTCTTTTTAATGAGGTTACCAGGGGTTATCCATTTTATTGATTTTTCTTAAAGGGTTATATTTTGATTTTTGTGTCATTTCTCTTGTTTTTCTTCAATTTTATATTTCTTTAATTTTATATTTCTTTATATTAAATACTTCCTTTTACGCTCTCATTTATTTATGTTCACATTCTTGTGACTTTTCAGATAATGCTTTGTTCYTTTATTTTTCTTTCTCTTTTAACTAATAAAAACATTTAGGACTAAATTCTTTTTTTTTTCTTTTTTTTTTTTTTTCCTCCTCTAGAGGCAAGTTTGGTTGAGTCTCTTGGGTTTTTAGAATTCTCCTGTTCATTGCTGTATAGATAATTTTGAATTTTATTTTTCACTACTTCTGGCTTTGCCAACAGGGGTCAAATTTATTTGCATTGCATTTTCGCCCTAATTGATTTGGCATTTTATTATGTTTTTAGTTCTTGTGGTAGCAGACAACCCTTAGAAGCCATAATTAAACATATTTTTCTTTTTCCTATTTCTTATTTCTTTTACTTTTTATATTCCTCCCAGATAAAATGTTGTTTACTATCTCATCCCTGACCAAATATGAAATCTCTATAGACACCCTTTCTCCTTTCCCAAACTCTTAAATTTTGAGAGGATGATATGATTTTGGACTATTACTGCTTTTCCTTWAAGTCAATCTCTTTGACTTCAAGAATCCTTATTTATGACTTATATTGCAACTTCCCAGTGGCTTTACCATCAACTATTTAGCATTATCAAAGTGTTTTATGGTATTTGCAGCTAGTTCCTGTTTCTTCTTCTTTGGTAGCTAATAATAAAATCATAATGATAATGCCAATAATCATTATTTCTATAACTTCAACTATGAGTCAGATATTGGTCAAGGGCATTTAATCATCCCAATAACCTTCTGAAGTCAGTACTGCTATTATCTGTGTTTCACAGGTGAGAAAATGAGACACTTTCCCAAGTCACACAGGGTTTGGCCTTACCTGGCTTCACAGTCTGTGCTCCTAACCACCAAAGAGGTCTTTCAAGCATCCCAGATAATTTTTTCCCCTGTTGTGGCAACTTGAGTTAAAAGACATATAGATGCAAACCCAAAAGAGGGGCTCTCCTGGAGTTACTGGAAACAGAAGTGGTGCGTACAGCTTGGCCCTCCTCATGTAAGCAAGTACTGTTCAGCTGCTAGGGAAAAAAAAAAATATATATATATATATATATATATATATATATATATATATATATATAATTTTTTGGAGGCTCCAGATGCAAATGGTCACATTCAAGTTCTGGCATCATCTTCTGCATGTGGGTGACATGGGACACCTGGGAAGTTGAAGCCCATATAAATGATCTTTATTACTCCATTCTTCTCTCTCTCTCTTTTTTTTTTTTAATTCAGATAAATCTTAAATCTGACCATGAGGAGTCCTGTTGTCCAGGCCAAATACTGATCCCATAGTATCATTAGCACCACCACACTCTTGGGGTTAAGTCAAGAGACAGTTTGAGTTCTGAAGTAAATATAGGAAAACACAAGTCAGTCTCTCTCTCTTTCTCTCTCTCTCTCTCTCTTCTCTCTCTCTCTCTGAGATAATTATATTTCCTCCACATTTCTAATATGGACAGAAATTCCTATCATTATGGGATACTGGGAGGGCTGGAATGACCRTTTAAGCTAAGTGTGTACATTTTGGAGAACATTGAGAAAAATATTGTGTGCCGATCTCAGTGAAGAATGGGGCTGTGTGTGGGAGCTCCCCTCAAATACAGAACTTGTGTTATCTTCTGGCCTTTGCATGAAAGGCCTACGGCTTAGAAGTGATTGCTTCCCATAGCAATTTTTATACAATCAAGTTATCACAAAATATTTTATACTTTTTATACAATCAAGTTATCACAAAATATTTTATACTTTTTATACAATCAAGTTATCACAAAATATTTCTTGGATGCTTGTGGTATACTTAGCAAATCAGGGTATTTGAAGAGGTGTAAATCAGTTAAATTTTTAAATGTTTGTTTTTAAAAGATGTTTGCATTCCTGGTAGTGGTTCACTGAATATCACTATATATCACTTCTATACGTGATATATGTGGGAGGTGGATGCAGATAACGAAATGTATGAAACTGGCAGTGAGCTGAATGTTTATTCAGAAGATGGAGATGAGAAAAGACTTAATGGAAAAGGAGTATCTCCAATGAGGCCCTAACAGGGTTTGTTCCCTGGGGGATTGGCAAGTACAGGGCAACAGGGATGAGAGTGACAGCTGTCCTTGTGGGCCAGAGAAGGGACAAACCTGAGGAGCAAAGGGAGCTGAGGCTGAGGATTAGGTAAAGTGAGGTGGGTGTTATTTTCAACTATTGATTTATCTTTCAAATATCCCCCCCCCAAAGTAAAATTATGGCTCAGATATAAAATCATGGCAAATATAAAATGAGCTTGTGCCAAAGCTTTTATTGAATTCATCAATCAGTGGAGGAGCCAATAGGATGTTAAAGAGCAGCAAGAAGCTAGGTGTGGATGTTAGATGGATGGAGATCAACCTACAGAGTTCTGGGCAATTTACCAAATACATACAAAGACAAGGTTGCTGRGTTAGATACAAAGCTAGTTGATGTCTTACGGGACAACAAACTCTTAATCTTTCGGGCTGTTTCTCTGGATAAAAGTTACTTGTATTTTTACTAGAAAAAAAAAATCTGTAAGTTAACATGTAACTTTACTAAGTCTGAGATATTAATAGCAAATAGTGAATTGAACAGAGTTCATTTGCCTAGATGTCCCTGGGTAGCTTTTGTAACATATGACCTTGAAAAGATGTGCCGTCTACTTTTTTCCTCTATTTCCAAGTTTTAGATAATTTCAGAAATAATATTAACCTACAAAGAAATTGGCCACAGTGCCCTTCTGTGGCTCTGAAGATGGGACCCCCTGCTTGCTCTTGTTCTAGATTTAGTTCTTGAATAGTGCAGACAGAGACATCGGAAGGCCTCTTCGACCCAGCACCCCCCAGGTCCCCGCCTTCCTCTCATACTCTTTTCATCTTCCTCACCTCTGGCTGTTGGCTCTCAGCTTGGGTTCAGTGCTCATTCTCCCCTCGCTCAAGACATAGTGGAGCAGAAATGGGGCCTGGGRCAGATTCCCAGGTGAAAAGAGCAGGGTACTGGTGCTGGTTCCTCGCTGCTGAGCCTGGGCTGGTGCAAGTGTTTGTCGGGGCAAGCAGGGTGCTTGGGGCGGGTGGTCCTGCCCAAGGCTCCTGATGCTTCTCTGTCTTGCTGGCTCTTCCTGTCTGGAACGGCCGGGCAGTGTGTTGCAGGTGCCATGTACATCACTGGCTTTGCTGAGTCCATCTCGGATTTGCTGGGCCTCCGGAACATCTGGGCTGTGCGAGGAATTTCAGTTGCCGTGCTTCTGGCCTTGCTGGGGATCAACCTAGCYGGCGTCAAATGGATCATTCGATTCCAGCTGCTGCTGCTGTTCCTGCTGGCCGTGTCCACGCTGGACTTTGTGGTGGGCTCTTTCACCCACCTGGACCCAGGTAAGCCCTTCAGGGTTCAGTATGTGGCCTATCCTGGGGATCTGCACTGCTTTGTGAATGTTGATAGATGTGAATTTGGAGATGACCCTCCTGTCATGGGTTGTACCTACAATTTAGTTGGGCCGTTCCTGATCAGATGAGTTGGTACGTCTTGGTGTGACTTCACGAAGTCTCTCTTCACACACACGTTTTCACTTCATGCTTTTTCTGTTTCCTTTTCTTCTTCAAACAAAACTCAGAAAATTTAGATTAAAAGAAAGCAGAAATACACAGAGATTAAATTGATTACCGTGATTGGAAGAGTGGGCAAGAAATAAATATGCATGTAGGGAAGATAAACAGACCTTAATTTTTTCTCATTGGTTTTTTTTTTTTTTTTGGACTGGGGATTGAATCCAGGGGTGCTTAACCACTGAGCCACATACCCAGCCTTTTTAAATTTAATTTTATTTTATTTAGAGACAGAGTCTCGCTGAGTTGCTTAGGGGCTTGTGAAGTTACTGAGGCTGGCTTTGAACTCGAGATCCTCCTGCTCAGCCTCCTAAGCTGCTAAGATTACAGGTGTGCTCCATCACATCTGGATTTTTTTTTTTTAAAGACTTTGCTTGCTTAGACTGTGTGAGGCTCTAGATTCCATCTTCATCACTGTGAACGAGGACAAATACTAACTATTTCTGGGGGACAGGGACAGATATATGCTTGATTATTTATAGTTTTATGTGCTAAATTTTTTTTTCAAAATAAAAATATGCATCCATTAATAATAAGCTTAAAGAAAACAACCAACCAGGTATAGTTTTACCCCCTTTGGAGATAGATGATATCACATCTGTTTAAGCAGTCTGTCGCTATTTAATCTAACCCTGGATTTTCCTCAGCCTTGAGGATGCTTGGCCAATCAATCCTAAAGCCTTAGGCCTTGAGTGACCAGCTCTTACCAGAGTGTCATAACTGTATAGCTTTCTGATTTGCTCTGGTTTGGCATTAAGGCCAACTTTGCTTCTCTCCAGATTGTGGAGCTATTCCTAGAACACTGGAAAAAAAGGTCACTGCTTGATGTTTTCCACTGCAGGGAGGGACTCTGTCTTTATATAACAGTAGGACCAAGCAGCCTAACTGGACTATCTGGACTATATGGATGGGGAAAGAAGGATGAAGCCCCTCGCTGTGTTTCACACACACACACACACACACACACACACACACACACACACACACCATAGACCATGACCTGTACAGGTGGCGATAGCGGCTGCATTGGACGACACTAGCATTGTACTTGGCACTTTATGTGGCTTATCTTGTTGAATTCTTATCAGAACGTCTTAAGAACAGCTTTACTCATTTTGCAGATGAGGAAACCTAGGCTCAAAGATGCTATTGGTGGAAATGYATGGCAGAGCTGGGGTTTGAAACTAGATTTCTTCGTCACCACTGCTGAGCTGATTCCTGAGGTGGGAAGCAAGCCTGTTTTCACACTCCATGACAGCAACTCTGCTTTTCCCCTTCTAGGCTGCGCCTGGTGTGTGTCCGAAACAGTCTTGTCTTTTATCACAGTGTTGGTGCGGAAAGGTTAGAATTCAGTTCGCATACACTATCTGGCTTCATCACTTCTTCATATGCTGCAGTTGTTCTGTTGGAAAATTGTAGCTCCCTTAAATTCCTTGAATGTCCCTACTTCTGGCGTCCTGGGCCCTTCCTCAGAATCCCCAGACTGTCCCTTGATCCAGCACCTAAGGGTCAGCTCCTRTACAGAAGGAGTCCCCAGGGCCCACTGCCATGCTAAGGGCCACAGGTATCCACACARGTATCCACACACTGCTGTTTGGAACATCTCCATTGGAGGGAAAGGGTGACCCCCGCCCAGCCCCACTGGACCTTGCACCATCTTACAGAGTCGGCGCCCATACTGAGGGAGACTTACTGGCCTTTGGCTGCCAACCTGTCAGTTTAGGGGAGAAAGTGCCYACTGTAGTCCCCAATTCCTGGGTGCTTTCCCCTCCATAAATACAGTGGCTGAAAGAGCACAGTTAAATTGCAGGGCAATCCCACTGGCCTCTCTGAAATCCTACTAGACTAATGTGTTTTCCTTCTTTTTTTGATTAGAAGTTTTCTTGGCTGTTCTTCTAGGTTACTCCAAATATTTCTCCTTGCTTCTGGTCAGTACATTAGCAGGGTGTAGTGTGAACTGGAATTTATTTTCAATTATTCCCATAGCAACTGGCCCCTCTAGAATCTGTTTTTGGTATCTCTGATGTTTCATAGGGGCTGTTTTCTTTGCGGTTAAAAATTCAAACTGAAACCAGACCTTCAGAATGGGTTTAGCAGAATGGTTTCAGCTATTAAAAAAAAAAAAAAAAGATATATACATAGAGATTTGAAAAAAGACTGGAAGGAACTATGCCCAAGTGKTAATGATGATTGTCATCTATTGAGATTACCTGTGGCTGTATTTCTTTTCCTTCAATTGACCAGTGTTACTTGTTTTTTAAAAAATTAATAGATATTATGGGCTGGGGTTGTGGCTCAGTGGTAGAGCAATTGCCTAGCATGTGTGAGGCACTGGGTTTGAGTCTCAGCACCACATAAAAATAGATAAAGGGCCACCAAYAACTAATAAAATATTTTTTAAAAAATAATAGATGTTAATTTATTAATAGTAGATATTAATTAACTAATAATAGTTAATTTTATTAATTAATAGATGTTCATAGAGCAGGTTTCAGTCAATGGAGAATTGAACAGATAGTACAAAGGTTCCCACCTGCTTCCTCCCTCCCTCCCCSACCACAGCTTCCCCTGTTAACATTTGCGTTAGTGTGGGGTACATTTGTTAAGAGTTGATGAACCAATTCTGACACATGATTATTAACGTCTGTAGTTTAGGGTTCACGCTTGGTGTTGCATATTCTATGGGTTTTGGAAGGGTGCAGTGCTGTGTGCCCACCATAACAGCATCACAGAGAGGAGTGTGCAAACCCCCTGTGCTCCACCTGTTAATCCCACCCCACTGCACACTCCCGGCCACCACTCATCTTTTTATTGCCTCCATAGTTTCAGCCTTTTCCATAATGTCATAACTTGGAATCAGACAATATGTAGCTTTTCCAAATTGGCTTCTTTCACTTACTAATATGCACCTAGGATTCCTCCATATCCTTTTGTGGCTTGATAGCTCATTTCTTTTTACCTCTGAATACTATTCAGTTTCTGAATGGACCCAATTTATCTCTCCATTCACCTGTTGAAGGACATTGGTTACTTCCAGTTTTTTTTTGGCAATTTGAACAAGATAGTTCAGGTTTTTGTGACGATATTTGTTTCAACTCACTTGGATAAATCCCAAGGAGCATGATGGTCGGATCATAGGGTAAGACTGTGTCCCAAAGTGGCCGTTAAGAATTTGCGTTTTGAATGAATTTCTGCGGCTCCTGTCCTGATTGGCAGTTGGCATGTCAGTCAGTGTTCTGGATTTGGGCTGTTCTGATAGGTGTGTGGTGGTATCTCATCACTTTAATTTGCAGTTCCTTGATGACATCTGATATTGATCATATTTTCATATGCTTATATTTTCCATCTGTGTATCATCTTTCATCTTTGGTGAACTATYTGTCTAGATACTGTGCCCTTTTAAAACTTGGATTGTTTGTTTTCTTCCTGTTGAGTTTTAAGGGTTCTTTGCATATTTTGGATAGAAGCCCTTTGACAGATATGTGTTTTATAAATATTTTTTTTTCCAGTCTGTGGTTTGTCTTTTCATTCCCTTAACTAGGTCTTTGGTAGAGCAGAAGTTTTTAAGTGTAATGAAGCTTAGCATATTCATTTTTTCTTTAGTGGATCATGAATTGGGTGTCACTAAATTTTTCTCCTGTGTTCTCTTCTAGAAGTTTTGTTTTTAAAAAATATTTTGCAAAAAAAAAAATATTTTGCTTATTAATGCATATTAATTGTACATGTTAATGGAGTCCAGTGTATAGTTTCATACATTCACATAGCATGCACTAATCAATACAGCCTCTCTTTTCTACCTATCTCCCTTATACCTTTCCCAATCTCTAGTAATCACTATTCTATTTCAGTTTTATTTTTTTTTTTCAGTACTGAGGATTGAATCCAGGGGTGCTCTACCATTGAACTATATCCCTAGCCCTTCTTATTTTTTTATTTTGAGACAGGGTCTTGCTAATTGTCCTGGCTGGCCTTGAATTTACGATCCTCCTGTCTCAGTCTCCCAAATAACTGAGATTACAGATATGCACCACTTCCCCCAGCTAGGTTGACTTTCTTTTCTTTTCTCTCTCTCTCTCCTCTCTCTCTCTCTCTCTCTCTCTCTCTCTCTCTCTCTCTCTCTCTCTCTCTCTCTCTCTCTCTCTCTCTCTCTCTCTTTCTTTTTCCACATATGAAAGAGAGGCAGGAGGGAGAACTTATTCTTCTGTGTCTGGCTTATTTCACTTAATATAATATACTCCAGTTACAGCCATTTTGCTTCAGCTGACAGGATTTAACTCTTCTTTGTGGCTGAAAAATGCTCCATATTGTGTGTGTGTGTGTGTGTGTGTGTGTGTGTATGTTTGTGTGTGTATTTCTTTATCTATTCATCTGTTGCTCCCATTCATCTGTGGGTACTAGGCTGATTCATACCTTAGCTATTGTGAATAGTACCACAATAAAACATGATGATGTGGGTGTCTCTTTGGTATGCTGATTTCACTTCCTTTGGCTGTACACCCAGAAGTGGGATAGCTGCATCATGTATCAGATTTGTTCTTAGTTTATTGAGGAACCTCAATACTGTTCTGTATAATGGCTGTACTGACTTTGCATTCCCACCAACAGTATCTAAGAATTCCTCTTTCTCCATATCCTTGCCAGGATGTGTTATTTTTGTAATAGCCATCCTAAGTGGGGTGAGATGGTATCCCCTTGTAGTTTAAATTTTCATTTCCTTGATGGCTAATGACATTGAGCATTTTTTTCATATATCTGTTGGCAATTTATAG